CCAAAATTGCATTTTTATCCAATTTTTGTCATTCTTTCTTTCCAATTGCTTACAACGTATTCATCACTAAAAACAAAAGAAAATTAAACTATGTTAAATAAAATTTAATAATTTGACGAAGTAAATGTCTAATAATGCGGCATAAATTAGTGCAAAAATTGCACTCATCAGTAATCTTCATATCTTGGATTGCGAAAAACATGGGCTTTTCTGAAGGAAATTTTGTCCATTGAATTTGTGCATGCAGGACATCGAAGATAATGACCCATATAAGAGGACCTAATGGCTTTTGCCGAAGGGAAGGATTGAAGAGAAGGGGAAAGTACAAAAGCCAGCCCTAAAATTTTGGGTGTCCTGTGCGAGATTTTAAAATGATTCCCTTTTTAAGTTACAAAAACATATATTAAAAAAATATTTTAATAATATTATTTCATTTCAAGAATATGATATTCAAATACACACACACACATATATACACGAACAAGAAAAACATAAATAAAGTTCAAAAGCATATCTCGAACTTCATCAAAATTCATATGTCATCAACAAAGAATCATCAAAGCCATTAGCCTCTTCGTGCAACTCAATATAAGCAAACATTGAAAAAATATATGTATCAAGTGTAAAGCTTGAAATGCAACAAATCATATAAAAATATTTTTTCTCACATTTTTAAAAGCAAACTCACTAATTAAATTTTCGTAATCAATATTTTCTAAAAAGTCTTGCTCAATAGATATCAAAGCTAATTCATTCAATCGTTTCTATAACACGGTTGATCGCAAATAAAATTTTAATAACTTCAATTTTGAAAAATTTCTTTCAATAGATGTTAACAGTAACATGAATTGTCAATTATATTCTATAAACAATACATGTATTCGAAAAGCAATCCAATCTTTTCAAATAAATCAATAAATCAAAAGCCATCTTTATTTCTTTTGGTAAAAGATTTCGCAAACTTTTAACTCTTGAAATAAATATTCGCCATCAAGATCGCAAAAATTTACATGTCTTAAAACAATATAAAAATGATCACAACATGCTTTTAAATTAGTATCATCAAAAACATGTTCAGATTTTAACAAGTTCTTGTAAAGCAAATTCAAATCAGTGAAAACGAGATTGACAAAAAGATAATAAAGAAAAGATAACAAATAATTCAGATTTTCAACGAGGGTTTAATGAAAAATATGAATCGTCAATCGTCGCTTAAAGAAAAGAGAGAATTTTTTGGAGCTAGATCAAAGATAATTGGAGAAAAAGATGATTGGTTTCCATCTTTTCTGCCTCACTTATTTTTGAGGCAATTGGAAAAAACGGTTGGTTTCTTTAATTCTTTTCTCCAAAAAAGACGATTGAAAAAGGCGGTTGACCAACTTTTCTTTCTTCTCGGCTTGATCTTTTTTGAACTTTTCTTTTTTCCCTCACATTATTTAAGGTAGGAATACTATTTGAAAATAATATATTCGAGGAAATTATAATTAGTTGGTTACATTATTCTTAATTTTAATATTTTATGCATAATAATAAAAAATTTATATTTTAAATATTTAATTATCAATAAATATACAACTATTAACAAATTTTTTTTTGATACTCCTACAATTTTGAGGCCCTGTGCATTCGCTCCACTCGCGCACCCTCAAGGTCACCTCTGAGTACAATCATCACCATTGCTGCAAAAAAACCCAGAAAATCTCATAATCCGCAACATTTTTCTTCCTCTGTGTAAGAATCTCCAATTCTTGTCTTGGTTTTTTCTCCACAATTTGAAATCGAAACTGTTTGAGGAAATCGAAGAGAATAGGAAGGGTACTGTTCCCTTCAGCTCTGCCAGAGTGAAGGTCAATTGCAATTCACAATACAAAAACCCCAATCCCAATGGCAAAAATTGTGCTTTGCTTTTTGTAATTTTTCCTCTCTCTAATGGGATGCCGTGACTTCGAAGCTAATGAGTTCTATCAGAGAGAGTGATGAAGAATCAATCCATATACATAACGAAAAATGAATATGTAACTACGTGAGTTGCAGTCCTCACTCTCTCTCTCTTCTCTCACTATACACACATGTTTCCCTATTTCTTCTTTGGAGAAGATGAAGAGAGAATTTGGGGAAGGGGTTTTTTTGTTTTGTTTTTTGAGCTCTCCACCATAGAATTTCATGATTTGTAATTTTTATTATCTTTAATGATTAGATTAGAGTAATCAAAATAATGATAATTAAATAGAAATCCCTATATAGGGTTGCAAATGAATGAATGTGGATATCTTTTGCACAGGGTCGATCCTGTATTTGTCGGGGCTCGAGGCAAAGTTCAAAAATTAGGCCCTCCTAAAATCAACGAAAATGCAAAATTCAACGATGTATTATGCAACATATTGCCAACTTAAAATTTAACATTAGAACAACAAACAACTATCTCAATAATCTCAAAATTAATGAAAAAACTATTTTCCTTTTCCTTTTTCTATAATAAATAAATAAAAAAGCTTTTGGGCCAAAATAGGTCCCATATGGTCCTGGGCCTGAGGCACAGGCCTCATTTGCATGGCCACAGGACCGGCTCTGCTCTTGGATAATGTCCATTAATCACCACTCACGATAGCGAAAAACAAATTTGATATCTTAGATTATATAAAATTCACATATACTTCTGAATAGAAAATTAGTAGAAGTATACAAGCCATGTTGAACCTTGATCGGATAAATCCCACACACGTATGATATCATTGATAGGAGTCAAACGGGGGCTTTAACTAATTTTAACCATCTTCATTGACGCATATTCAACTCTCTTTGCATGAAGAAATATTTCAAACACATATGATTCGAATATATCTCAATTTTTTTCTCCATACAGATAATGCCTCCAAAGTTTCAATGTGGAAACTATAGCTTCTATTCCAAATCATGAGTAGGATAATTCTTCTTATATGATGTAATGACTCAAGCTCCATGCCTAATCCGTTATATCATAGTACTGTCCATTTTATTTTTCTTCTGTTCCTCACCTTTCAATTTCAATTGGTCCTCATAGACCTGTTTTGGTGTTAACGGAACAAGAGTAACTGATTTTCCATCTTTGACAAGGCAATGCCGATTTTGGTTAGCGAGGCACATACTATTCCACGTAGCTTGCCATCCAAGTACTGCCTATGCGAATTCATGCCAGCTTTGCTTGGCCAGCTCAATTTTGGCACAACCTTTTTCCTGTGAAGTAGCACTTGACAAGAATATAACATCAAGTTTTTGCTCAATACTCTCTGTTAATGTTTTAGTACTGGCATATGGACATTGTTCTTGATCAAATATATTTAGCTGTATCAAATTGATCCAGGTGGGGAAGCTAAAATAAATTAAATCTTAGTGGAATTGGCATTTCATACAATAATCCTTGCCTTGGTATGTTTTTTCGATTCATTGTAAGCTTGATTGAAAAATTGGAGAAAGTTAGGACGTCCTCAACTTTTAAGATTGAGGTTCTATATCTCTACCTATTTAAATTTGTGATTCTAGGTTCCATTTGATGGAAACCATTCATGCAGATGTTTAAATCGCAAGGGAGATAATTTTGCTCTTTGGCTTTGAGTCACATGAAAATTTTAATGCAATCCTAATGTCTAAACTGGCTTGGTCGATTGCTCGGGGACCAAGTTCACACACTTAAATAGGTTGGAGGACTCAGATACTAACTTTCGATGATTAGAGATCTTGTCCTATCATTATTGGAAATCTTGATATGGATATCAACTCATGATGTTGCATGGGCTTGAAACTCTGATTAGTATATGACCCACAAGTTATATTAGTTCTTTTGACGATAAAAAGGCTGATTAAGTTTGTAGGATTACCTTAAATTGTCTGTATAAGCATGGGTAATCATAGTTTTGCTGACACGATTGAAAATTTTACTAATCTAACTCTAGTTTATATGCATTGCACTAAGCTACTTTTGCCTTTCTTTCTTTTTTTCCGTTTTTTTTTTTCCATGTTTGGCAATTGATTTTAATAGTACTCTTTACAAGTGTGTTTCTATCTACTATCAAGTTCGGTGAATTTGATAATAAACACACGTTGACATTCCTATCCTCCTCTTTTTAAGATTTATTCAAAAAACTAAAAAAAGTTAAAAAATTAAAAATAAAATAAAATTAATACTTCTTAGTTGTAAGTGGTTCAAGAACAAGCTTTAGTAATTTTCATAGCTTTACTACTAATATGTCAACTAGTTGTGAGTGGTTCAAGTAGCTTTAGCATTTTCATAGCTAAGAAAGGGCACTAATTTAAAACTGAATTTGTTCTAATGTGTAAAATCCTATATTTAAGAGTGCAATCTCTCTTAACTAGCTATGGCCGACTAATTAATTTCCTTATCTCAACGAAAACTTTGCTTTTTGATTTGGAAAATAAAACTAGTCATATAACTGTGTGCCATACAGAGGGCCTAGTCAAGCCTGTTGATCTTGTTAAAGAGTAAAATAAAGTCAAGCCACATATACACAAACATTTGTAGTGAATTCCAATCCAATCGCCACATATCCAGAACTGTAATTAGCCCGTCGCCTAGTGAAGACCGAGAGCTTTCAACACATCAATATCTCTAGATATACTTGCAAAACTCTAAATTCTGAGGAGGCAACCGAATGTCTATTTAACTTATTGTAGAAGCCAACTGAATGGATATGGATGGAACACGCTGATTACAACTCGCAATGCTTATTAGATTCAACAAGTAAACCTAAATTTAGAGTAACTTAAGCTTGACATATCACGTCGCAAAAACAAGACAAGTGATCTCGTGTTCATAGTAAACCCTTCACACCAAAACAATCAACTTACGACAATATAAGCTACATAGAATACATGTTTATGGTTAACATAACCTCTAGAGAGAACAATTTAGGAGTATACACGTTTCCCCATTTCTCATGGTTATCACTTGCCAATGGATTTTTATCTGAGAAGGCAAAAAGGAAAGTCCATAAACCCTTAACGAGTAGAAAAGAAGTGACACAAGAAGTTTATTCAATTTGTACCAATATGATACAAAAAATGGTTGCTTTCAACATGATCCGTATTTTGGCTTTCACAAGAACATGTAACTTGATACAAAAGAAAGGATAAAACAAAAAGAAATGAATCAAAAAATGACCAAAAGAAAAATAGAAATGAAATTGTTACAGATTAATGTATCAAGCAAAAGCTCGCTTCTTTAATTCTTCAAGCTGTTGCAGTTCAATTAATCTTTGAGCCCACTCTCTTTCCCTTGCAACTGCTGCCATCTTCCGCTCCACCCTCTGCATGTTCCTCTTCCGTTTGGCCTCTTGAAACTGAGCTTTATGCTTCTTCTTTTCAGACTGCAGAAGCGACAAAGTTACAAGAATAGCAAATTATATAATATTGGAGATTAAAAATCAATCAGAGTAAGAAAATGCACACATATAAATTCGATAATCATTTAATGCTACTACACCCAAACAAAAAAGAAAAAAAAGGCAAAAAATAGGAATGTCGAGTAGCTGCCCAAAGTAAACATTACAAGTTAAGAAGGATAAAACAGATTTGATGAGCAATCATTCATCAGGCAAAGCAAGAAACATTTAATAGACGCCGACAGTATTTCATTGCAATTCTCTACTGTTAGATATCTATAATGTTTTGTTGAGAACCAATCTGCACCAGAAACCTTGACTGGAGACTAGCCAGATTTCAAGAATCAAACTACCTCCTTCCACACTTGAATGACCTATCGACCTTATTACTTGTATAGACGTCTGATTCTGAACAAATAATTACGTCTTTCTTAATATTTACAATTTTTAGTACATCCCCAAACTACAGCTTATTATATACAACTATAACATATTAGATATTCTCATCTCTTCCCAAGAAAACACATATGCAATCACACGAGCAGAGACCCATCTGCAGTAATTTTTTTTTTTCTTTTTATGACCCTAGGTGTTCGGGCCAACTTACACGCACTTCGACTAATCCCATGGGGCCTTAAAATTTACGGTCGGGGATTCACCTCAATAGCCCTAATAGAACTCGAACTGGCAACTATTGGGAAGCAAATACAAGGCTTGATCACTGAGCTATCCCTCAGTAATTTCAGAAACTGTCTACTTTAACCATTGCCACCCCCACCTTCAAACCTACAATCAGCGGAAATACAGACCAAAAGATAACCAATAAAAACATCCCCTGCTGCCACCTTATCCAAAACCTAAAACCCAAAATGGACTGTTCCCAGCCCTTAAACTTCAAGAGCTATCCCTGACACTGCTTCCTCAACATAGAAAAGGAAGGAAAGATAGAAAGAGAAACACTAATTGAAGAAACTACAGTTGAAACTTTTCATTGAAGATTGCTTTGCTTCAGATATAGAAGATATTCAGTCAACAGACTATAAAAGCATCAATTTCAGAACCTCAAGCATCATTGATGTGGTGGGTTTTTTCCCTCATATTTGTCTCATGGTAGGATTGTTCATGGTTTTATTGGTCTTCTAGGTTGGAAGTCTAGAATTTGAATATTCCTATTTCTTTAAATTTGCATTTGGGATTACTAGGATTTTCGCATTCAGCTGTTGGCTAGAGTTAGTCGAATGTGGTGGCTGAGGTTGTACCAATAGAGATGTACCGATGGCACTCCACTGCTGATGATGCTTTAGCTTAATAAGGAAAATCGGATAGAAAAATAAATAGATTTAGTCGCTTACTAAAGGGTAATTTGGGAAAACCTCACGTGTAAGTGGATTCTAAAGTGCTGACCAAATTCAAATAAGGATCTACGAACGCAAAGGGAGAGATCCCCTAAGAACAACGATTGGTTCCTTTTGTGGGTGCAACACTTTTTCCTTCAGCAGAATTTGGACTTTCTTCATCAGTAACACAGGGATTAACTGCGGTCAGGCCCATGAATATAGTGAGACTTCAAAACCCTCTACAAGTGTCCTTCAATATGCTTCATATCAAAAACAAGATGTCTTTCCAGTTGAATGTGAAAATGAATACCGTCCTTTATCAATTTCCATATATTATGCATTCTAAAAAAGTATGCCTAGAACCAATTCTAAAAAATTTGACTTGTAAAAGAATCTCTCATGATATGCAAAATCAGTATTTTTTTTATTTTTTTTTTATTATCCTTTCACGTGCCAATTTTTTAATTATATTAGCAGGACCTTTCTCACATCAATTTTCGTCAGGTTAACAAATCAAGATCTCACTACATTACCTTTTCAACTTACATGCTCGTTGTCATCTCATTATATTTTGTGATTATAATCTGCAGTCAGTCATAAACTTTATCCTGCTTATCCGTGTGATATTCTAATTCTAAGATTTTAAAAGGCTCCCACTCATCTGTAAGCCAGAAATATAATTTTTTTGAAGGATGTCATCCGCTAAGCAAGAAACCACCACCACCACCACCACTAACACAAACATATCAGCTCCTACTTATGGAACTATCTGCTAAAAAACTTGATTAATATCCCATCTTTAACGTCATGAATAAAATATGAAGCAATTCTCAGGAAAAAAAAAAAAACAATAAGTGAAAGAGAAAACTAGAAATGCACATACCAATATAAATGCAAGATGCTGTTTGATTTGCTTCTTTTCATTCCTTCGTTTCACACTTCCCTCATTGGGTTGGTTGGGAAGTATCGGTTCACCCGGCACATATTCCACCCATGCATATGGCCCTAAAAAAAATTTCCACAGCACCAATGTCAGATCCACTTTTGCCAATAACCGTTCCAATTTTTCTATATTTAACCACATCAGACAAAATATATAAAGACTTTTTTAAACTCTAAAAACCCTAAATTTTGAGAAAGAATACTAAAAAATGAGAGGGTGACCTAGGGGTCTTAAGCCGGCTCTTTTCCGTCGAGGCTTGTCGCTAGGCCAGCGTTTCGGGTAGCGGGTGTCGGTCAGACTGTTGAAGGCGGAGGACGGCGGAAACCAGGGAGGAGGTGGCGGAGCTGCGGTGGTAGAGACGGAGTGGTTGCTGCAGGGAACAAGTGAAGCGGGTCGGGTAAATAAGACGGTTCGGGATACGAGTCGGATTATCGATCTGGAGGCTCCGAAACCCATGGCTTTTCACCAAGTAAACTCACCGTGAAAAAATGGGCTTGGCTCACGAATGAAAAAAAGGGAAAATCTTGAAAGATTAAGTATGGTAAATTTTAAAATTAAGAAAATAAGTTTTAAAATTCAGAAATCAGATTTCTATTAAAATTATTTATGATTTAATTATTTTATTAATTTAATTTACTTAGGTCACAGCTTGTGATTACAGTTATCTAATTAATTAGTCACGAATTAATTTTTAGTCACAGCTTATCAAATTATTGGTCGTAATATATTTCTCGATCACAGATCGAAAATTTTATAAATCACAAAATATTTTTCGATCACGAATTCAAAAATTTTACAAGTCACAGATTATTCATCGGTCACATATCAGATTAGTTTTTAGTCACGCCTTATCAAATTATTGGTCGTAACTTATTTCTTGATCACAGATCGAAAATTTTATAGGTCACAGAATATTTTTCGATCACGAATCCAAAAATCTTACAGGTCACAGACTATTCATCGGTCACATATTCAAAACTTTATTGGTCACAATTCATTTACTTATTGCAAATTATTGAATTAATTGGTCACGATTAATTTTTCGGTTACAACTTAATCAATTATGAGTCACAGTCACAATTTTCAGGTCACATATCCAATTGTGAGTCACAATTGAGAGCAACAAACACCTCCACAACACTTGTGACCACCATGTAGCCACTTCTTACAGTAGCGCCACCGCCACAGTTGTCGCCATAACTACCACCACTGCCACCTCCCGATGGCAACATCACCTCCTAAAATTAACACATCATCGCAACATATCCACCACCACCTCAGTAGACTCGTCACCGCCAACATATCACCATAACTATCGCCACCATTTCATTACCCACAATATCCACCACCACCTCAGTAGACTCGTCACCGCCAACATATCACCATAACTATCGCCACCATTTGATCACCCACAATATCCACCACCACCACCAACAAAAACACAACCACCACCATATTTACCTCCACCACATTGGATACAACAAAGTCGCCACCATTCAAAAATCACCACCACCATTATAACCCCCCATCTACCCACTAAAAGCAAACCCAAAACCTCGCGGAGCTACAAATTATGGCGACAGTCCACAATAGATCTCGACCACGACATCCAAAAAAAAAATCCCCAATCCCAATGTCACGCAGCCGCCAAACCACCACCACCAAAAAATCGTGGCTGCAGTGCAGGCGATACACGCACTACTGTTGTGGAGAGTCGGCAGCACCTGGGGGATGACGCTACCAGAGAAGTTGAATGAAAAAATATGGACTCCGATGATTCTGCACATGATTGTTACCATCAGCGACCTTGTACAGCGGTGCTGCTGCCACTACAAGGTGTCGTTTGGCCGGGTCCGGAGTCGCTGGAGAGAGAAGACGGTGCGGCGCCAGAGATCAGGTAGAGAGGCTGTGAAGAGAGGAGAAATTGATTAGAGTTTTGAAATGTAATTTGTATAATTAAAATTTAATATTTAAATAAAAAATTTCTGATTTTTGAAATATTAAACTATTCATATGATTTTAGAATAGAAGATTTTTAAGATATGTTATTGTGTAATTTCCACAATGAAAAATAAAGGAGAAGAACGTAACGACGTCGTTAGGCTTGACTACTTGTTTCATGTCTAGGCCAGGCCTAGCCAAATTTTATTGTGGACTAACTCGTGGAAATTGCACCAACTATATAATATTTTATTTCACATTATTATTATTTTATCTTTTATTTTCAACCACATAATTTTTCATAAAATAATATTATAAGTAAACCAACAATTTTTCTTTCTTTTTCAATAACACATTCTCCAAAACAACACTATTCCAAAAATTAGAATATCAAATAATGGGAGCTTGGTCCTTGTTTGTCTCTCATCCTTTCAAAATTCTCTTTTCTACGTACTCATTTTCAATCACACATTTATACAATAAAATATTATATATGTAAATTATAATTTTTCTCTACTTTTTAATCATAAATCTCCAAAATTTCACTAGTCAAAACAATATTTTTCAAAAAATGGCCACCAAACTGAGACTTCATTAATATTCAAACATTACATTGTAACGTCCTTTTTATCCCATAATTGCATTAATTTTATAGTAAATATAAAAAATGAAATACAACTCAACTCCTAAAGTATTAAATAGGATAATTGATTTTACTCTACCAAACACGTCTTAATCCTATGTTTGTGCACCATTAAAATCATTAGTCCGTTTGATTGCAAATACGAAATTTGGATGGAAAGAAAATGAATTTCAGAGAATTGAATTGCCTAGAAATTATTTTCCCGAGAATTGTAAATTATTGTATTTGATTGTTATAATTTTTCACTTGAAAAATATTAAAATAAAAGTATTTTTTGGTGTTCGTTTGACTTTCTTTTATAGGAAAATTGTCAATTAAAGGGATAGAATTTTCTGATATTGGAGATGAAATTGGTTTCCATTACTAAAAAAAATTCAAGAAAATTATCTATCTTTTGATATTTGTTTAACTTTGTTTTACATGAAAATTGTCAATTAAAGGGAAATTTTTTTTTACAATAATTCTTAGAATTTATTTTCATTGCCTAAAAAAAAAAATGCTACAATACTTTAAAAAACCAAGAAAATTTCAATTTTCAAGAAAACCAAGAAATGCAATTCCATGGAAAAGAAAGGCTATCAAACACCCTTAAAATGGAAGTTGGAATTGATTTTCCATTTTCTAAAGAAAATTTTCATGTATTAAACGGTGCCTAATTCTTGTTTTTTTCGTACAATTCAAAAGCAAGTCACCCCTGAGAGAAATAAATGAATTTTCAATTTTGTTCAGTCCCTCCTGTGATACTCCAACATATCCATGAATTGGTTATTCCTAAACGAGTCATGAAAGGTATTCTCACACAAATCCTCGTACTAAGAAATTCTAAAATCATCCCAAATATTAATCATTTATAGTAGATATCAAGCACTATTGCAGCCAATGTATCATTTTGTAAATCCACTTCCAAGATCTATGTTTTGGGGTGGTTAGGGCTTTATCGTTGGAGATTCAATAATAACACTTATTATTAAAATAAGAAAACCACTCTTGTTGTACATTTAGCAGTTCAAGATTCACAGAGATTATGGCATCTCCAAGTTGTCGGTCAAATTTATGTTCCAACAAGAACAAGCAAAAAGTTGAAATTATATCCCTTGCCGCGGATTTAAATCGTCGTTCTTCCTAGGATCAATATGGGTTAAACCTAGGATCAATATGGGTTAAACAGAAGATTAAAGTCACACCTACTATGGTTGTCCCAAAAATGTCAATTATCCTTGGGTTCCATTTCGAGGATGCAGGGCCAACCCCGAGAATTATGAAACCCTAGACGATTGATATTATGAGACTCTTCAACATAATATTTTTTGTATTACAAATGTAGCAATACATAAATAATAGAAATGATATTTAAAATGCTTAGAAACGATACTGTAAATCCAGTTCTATAGACAAATCCAAATCTGAAAAAAACAAAAAAGAAAAGAAGAACAGAAAATGTTGTTGATCTACGTATTGCATGAGATTGAGTATAACCATTGTAATTACAATCCTATATGAAAATTAACATCTTATAGTAGAAATATAAGAATTCTTACAAGACAAATCTTTTTGACAGGTGCTTTTTTACTTCTATGGGATTGGACTTTGACATAAATACAAATCCTTTTACAAAGACATCCATCTTTTTTTTTTCTTCTGGAGAAATTATCTGTTTCTCTAGAGCAATGGAAACAACAAGAAATTGGTCACCAACAAATTTTCAGCACAAAAGAATATTAAAAAGGATTAAAAAAGAAAATTAAGATATTACTAAAATAATCTCTTTCCTATCCTGCATTTTGTTTAACTCGAAGAACCATTAGATTGTAAAAGATAGGAACTATTATTTAGTTACAAAAATATAATTGATTGATCAGCAGGATTTTGAAGTTGCCTTCACAGGATTTCAATTTGGAAGTTCCTTTTATATTTTTAAAGGGATTCGTTTCATCATTCCAGGCTTCCCCGATCAATGAAAATATCTGATCCTCAATTGACCTAAATTGGTGATTTAAGTTCAATAAAAATCAATCTCAATTTGTCTACTATCTTCTCCAATTCCTCTAACCCTAAGGGAAACAACTGCTTTTTTTAAAGGGATTTGGTCGGTATTAGAGCTGGTTTTGGGCTTTTTTTATGAGGCCCTGGGCACTGGCCTAGTTTTCCTTGGGCAAGGGTCAGCCCTATGAAGATGATAACATGAATATGTTCAAATTGATGGATTGCATAATCAAGGACACATATTCTCAAGAATCTAAAGAGTGCTTACATTAAAGATTTTGAATAGAGACATTCTCAATCTTCCTCAAAACATGCCCTACAAAGATGTTATGAAGATCGAGATCCTATACCTTGTTTCAACTTACCTGTTCACCACCACACAACCCAAGAGTTTGGTCGTTGATGCTATGATGTGATTAGTGGACTCTGTGGTATTGGACACATTCTTGTGCGATAAGCTCTATACTACCTGAGGCTTGCATTTGAGAAGACAAAACCAAATAGAAGCAACATGAAAGGCATAATGTCATACAGACTTCACATTTTGTATGACATTAAGGGGGCCAAAAAAAAAAAAAAAAAACAAACAAACAAACAAACTTGACATTAAAAGATCGCCAGTGTTAATTCACAACTTATGTTTTGTCATCTGCAAATGCAATGCTAGTTTTATGTATTATTTGTTGATGTAAAGCTTAAAATGATATTTTTAAAAATTGAAACAGCACATATTCACATATGCCAGCATTGACTCGCATCTTATGGCGACATCAATTCAAGACCCATTAAAATGATGTAATCTGTCATAGATATTCATGATTCGCTTTGTGAAACAACATAGTATGGACCCAATCTTAAATTAGGGAATGTTCCAAAAAAAAATGTCGCTCAAAAATTGAACAAGAATCTACTACACAAGTGTAAGAA